CCAAAAGCATCAAAAGGCTCAAGAGTATTTCTTCAGGAGCCTGAAATTAGAAATCCTGATGGCTGATTGAATGTCTTTTAACGAACCACACGCTAACGTCATCGGCTGGAGCAAATTAATTATACGCTCCAGACAAATCAGTAAGACAAAGAGACGCATAATTACTGAGAAAACTCAAATGTTACAAAGACTGAAAGTAAAGATAATATCCCTCCTTTACATGACGGCTGTAAATTTATTATTTACCATCCTCAATAATATAACTTATACTGCCTAACAAAAAGTATATTAACTATGTTAAGGTTGGAGAGATTTAAAAAAGCATGCATATGATGCGCGCATGGCAGGAAAGAAAGCTAGTATGCCTCATCGTTAATACACGGAAATTAATTGACACATAGGCTAGAAGCATATACCAAGTTATACTAAAGACTAAAGAACATATAACAAACATACCACCGCAATAACTTACAAAAAGCTTAATGAGCTGAAAGTTATGCCGATATGAGTGAGATATCACAGCTGGCGGCATCTATCCTCTTCACATCAGTTGTATCGAACTATTTACGGCCTAAACTACTAATCACCTCGAAGGCCTCACCTCCAGCGCCTCGGGACCAGTGAGGCACGAGACCTCCGCTCTGAGGCCCAAGAACCCACCACAAGCCACCGCTTAGTCCCCAGCTATTCGCCGAGGGATGCTGCACCAGGAAACACAGCATCGCAGCCGACCCCCGCCATGATCACACTCACACTCACCTGGGTGACGCACGCAACCTGTCTTCGACAAGAATACATACTATAATAAATTATCATGGATAAGTCATTGACGAAACCTTTTAGCACGCATATACCACAGTGCCATTTTTTCTCCTGATTTTTTTTTTTTTCGGCATATTATGGGGGTACAGATTTTAAAGTTTCAATAAATGCCCTTCCCCCCTCCCCCACAATCTGAGTCTCCAGCATGACCATCCCTCAGATGGTGCCCTATCACTCGTTATGTATGTATATACCCGCCCCCCTCCCCCCCTCCCAATACTCTATTATTGTAGTACCTATGTGTCCACTTAGGTGCTACTCAGTTAATACCAGTTTGCTGGAGAATATATCTGGTGCTTGTTTTTCCATTCTTGGGATACTTCACTTAGTAATATGGGTTCCAGCTCTAACCAGGAAAATATAAGATGTGCTATATCACCATTGTTTCTTAGAGCTGAATAGTACTCCATGGTATACATATACCACATTTTATTAATCCATTCTTGAATTGATGGGCACTTGGGCTGTTTCCACAGCCTTCGCGATTATGAATTGTGCTATATGAACATTCGAGTGCAGGTGTCTTTTTTGTAGAGTGTCATTGATCATTTGGGTAGATGCCCAGCAATGGATTGCTGGATAAATGGTAGATTCACTTGTATCGCTTTAAGGTATCTCCATATTGCTTTCCACAGAGGTTGAACTAGTTTGCAGTCCACCAGCAGTGTAGGAGTGTTCCTCTCTCTCCACATCCACGCCAGCATTTGTTATTTGGAGACTTTTTGATAAAGGCATTCTCACTGGAGTTAAGTGTATCTCATTGTAGTTTTGATTTGCATTTCCGTGATTAGAAGTGTGAGCATTTTTCATATGTTTGTTGGCATTCTTCTGTCTTCTTTAGAAAAGTTTCTGTTCAAGTCTTTGCACTTTTTAATAGGGTTATTGTGATTTTTTGCTGATTTTCGTGATTCTAAGTATATTCTAGTTATCAGCCTTTATCGGATACGTAGGATGCAAATATTTTCTCCCATTCTGTAGGTTGTCTGTTTACTTTCATGACTGTTTCTTTGGCTGTGCAGAAGCTTTGTAGTTTCATCATGTCCCATTTATTTATTTTTGTTGCTGCTTTGATTGCCTTTGGGGATTTCTTCATAAACTCTTTGCTAGGCCGATGTCTAGGAGAGTGTTTCCAACATTTTCCTCTAGAATTCTAATGGTTTCACACCTGAGATTTAAGTCTGTTATCCAACGTGAGTTGATTTTTGTGAGAGGTGAAAGGTGTGGGTCCTGTTTTAACCTTCTAAAGTGGCTATTCCAGTTTCCAGCACATTTATTGAAAAGGGATTCTTTTCCCCAGCGTAGTTTTGTCTACTTTGTCAAAGATTAGATGGCTATATGGGATGGTTTTATATCAGGATTCTCACATCTGTTCACTGGTCAATAATCCTATTTTTGTGCCAATACCAGATTGTTTTAATACTACAGCTTTGTAGTATAGTTTGATATCTGGCATATTAATGCCTCCCAATTTGTTTTTTGCCTAGAATCCACAATGCTCATTTTTTCTGTTGTTTAAAAAATGAGAATATTTTTTAAACTGCAGGATATCTTTACTCTAAGCTTTATTTATCTTTTGGGAAATGGATAGAACATTTTACAACGTAACTCAGACTTGGGGCAAAGCAGTTTATCCAAGGATTCACACAGATTGGCAAATACCAACTGTATTCAACACAGAAAAAGAAAAGAAAAATAAAAAGAACCAAAAAAGAACGAGAAAAAGAGCAGAAAAAAGCAGAGACAAAGAAAAAGGCTGGGATCATCAGGCACCTCCATTTCCTAAGAATTATCATACCACCATCAATATCCACATGAAAATAGCAAAATGTGGGGACAACAGAGGCAAGGCATATTAAATAAGGATAAGTCATTCTCTCTAGGAACTAAGGTCTAACATAGCATGATAAATAAAAAAGAAATTGAAAGACTCCATGTGCAAATAAATGAAAATTGCAATTACACACAAACAACAAAGCACAAAGCAAAAAATACAAACTGTAACAAAATTCCTTTTCAAAATCAATCCTAATATAAACAAGGTATTAATTGAATAAGATAAAACTGTTAAATATTGGTACCTTGGTAAACCAAATATAATTATATCCCATCTTCCTGTATCTGCTCACATATAAGGCCTAGGTTCATCCCTGTAGGAACTGGAGATTTTAAGTGTTCTTAATTACCATTCTAAACTGCACTGGATAGAAACTGCAATGCTCTCAAGGTTAGAAAATGGCTTATAGCTAGAATTCTCAGTAACAGGGTAGGACAGAGGAGTGTCTGTTATCCAACGTGAGTTGATTTTTGTGAGAGGTGAAAGGTGTGGGTCCTGTTTTAACCTTCTACAAGTGGCTATCCAGTTTTCCCAGCACCATTTATTGAAAAGGGATTCTTTTCCCCAGCGTATGTTTTTGTCTACTTTGTCAAAGATTAGATGGCTATATGAGGATGGTTTTATATCAGGATTCTCACATCTGTTCCACTGGTCAATAATCCTATTTTTGTGCCAATACCAGATTGTTTTAATTACTACAGCTTTGTAGTATAGTTTGATATCTGGCATATTAATGCCTCCCAATTTGTTTTTGTTGCCTAGAATCCACAATGCTCATTTTTTCTGTTGTTTAAAAAAATGAGAATATTTTTTAAACTGCAGGATATCTTTACCTCTAAAGCTTATTTATCTTTTGGGAAATGGGACAGAACATTTTACAAACGTAACTCAGACTTGGGGCAAAGCAGTTTATCCAAGGATTCACACAGAATTGGCAAACTACCAACTGTATTCAAACAGAAAAAGAAATCAGGCCTTTCAGGAAGATTGATTCACCCACCTGATGAAAGAAATAGGTAACAGCAAGGTCATTGTCATTTAAGAGGATTTCTTCTTCTGTTGTAAAAAGCCACTTTCGAATGGTCAAACAGGTGCCTGGCACAGCTGATGTATAATTCTGAACGTAGAGTTTATGAGGAAATTCATTAGGGGCCAGCTTGCGTACTGAAGAAAAGACAAAACAAAGAAAACTGAAGTAAAAAGATATATAAGAAATTTCCCTAGTATAAACTATGTAAGGCAGATCAAGGAGGATAGGTTATCATTAACCAGAACATTGCTCAAATCCATCAAGGAACTCTGCCTTGAGAGCACAAAAGAGCCACTTGTCTAGGCAAATCTAACTCTTCCAGCCATGACTATGGATGGCCAAGTCTCCAGCTGACTGAAACCTATCATTTGAATGACAGCTTGCTATTGTTTGGATATTTGGCCCCTCCAAATCTCATGCTGAAATTTGATCCCTAATGTTAGAGGTGGGGCCTAGTGGGAGGTATTTGAGTCCTGTAGGCAGATTCCTCATAAATAGATTAATGACCTCCCAGGGGAGGTGGAGGGTTCTAAGTTAAGTTCTCACACTATTAGTTCTGAGGGGAGCTGGTTGTTAAAAAGAGCCTGGCACCTCCTCCTTCTCTCTTGCCATGGGGTCTCTGCTCATGCCATGAGTGGAAGCAGCCTGAGGCCCTCGCCAGATGCCCAATCTTGAGGCTTCAGGCCAGCAGAGTCACGAGCCAAATAAACCTATTTTCTTTATAAATTACTCTGCCTCAGGTATTCCTTCATAGCTATAGAAAACAGACTAAGACACAGATCCTTCAGTTAACATGATGACTCTGCAGACAGTGGACCAATTCCAAATTCAGTTACTTTGATCCATTAACTAATAAGTTATAGCTGATGTCCACTGAACATCTTTAAAGCAAGCTTCTCCTATTACCCAACTACGGTGCATTCAGTCTCTCATGAGGCAATTCTCAATGAACTGCTCTTATTGTTAAGCGCTGAAAGGCTCTTCCCACCCCATCCCCCAAACCCTGAGGCATTCCTGAAAGTGAAAAATGTCTTCTGAGTGAGGTTACTTCCTCTTCCTAAGAGCTGCACAAGCAGGGTAAAACACCATTACTTTTAATTTCTATATTGCCTTTCTTTGGAAAGGCTTGAGTTTTCCTCTCTTGATGTTTACTTGTCTTTCTAACATGGCAAAGACAGATTTAGTATTTACCATTTTACAGAAAATGTAACTAAAGCTTAAAAAAGGGTTAGAATCCAAGTGTCCTGGTACCCTAGCAATCCTTTGTAACATAATTTACATCTGCCTAGTTAGGCTGTTGAGAATTGGGAAGAAGAAAAAGAATAATGGGGAGATGGCTGCTTTGGGGTAATAAAAGTTATTCTACCTTGATCTGGGATGGCAAGGCAACCCAAATCGACCAAACTCTCCCTCTTTCTGAGATAAAGAAGGTCTGATCAACCAGTATTATCTATGTCATTTCTGGCGTTAGCCCTGTATAAATAGATATGATGTGGAAGACATTCATAAACTGTAGGAAATCTATGTCTTTCAGAACAAGCCCTTGGACACCCTTCCCTTTGTGGTCTCAATACAGCCAATGTGACCACCATCCCTAGCTTTTATAAAATGAAAGAGAAACTTCCTGTCACCACTAGGAAGAGGAACTCTATTCACATAGAAACTTAAATGTATGCAATAAAACAAAGGCTTTTAAGCAGTATGTCTCTTTTTAGCTTCTGAAAACAAAAAGTTATTCTTAAAAATCTTTACAAAAAGCATAAAAGTACACTAAAACAACATGTGGCTAAATAGAGAGCATCCCCTCTTTTGAAAGCTGTTTCATTGGAATATGTAAATTTTGAAACTCTAATCTAAAAGAATCTCATGAAAGTATCTGATTCAGTACCTATGAAAGAGGGAAAGGATCAGCAATGATCAGACACCTTTATGATCTGGGCTTGCTGGGATTTGGCTGGTCTGCTTGTTAGAGACAGACCTGATGATTAGGATCTCCCTTTGTCCTCAAGCTCTTCTCTAGATGGTTTCAGACTGACAGTATTAGAATAAAATATCTTCAAACAAAACTTAATATTAGCCACTGGCACTTACCAAAGGAATGATTGATCACTTCAAATAAGGCAAAGTAATTCACGGTCGTACTGTCCATGCCAACCTTTGCTGCAATTGCCTAAGGTGCAAACAGGATAGATTGGTTTCAGGAAAACTAAATCAGATAATATTAGGAGAAAAGACAGGTATATGTAAGTGGAGGGGGAAGAAGAGAGAGGTCCCGCCATCTTGGCTTCACAAAAATTAAATTCATCTTCCATAGCTTTCCTTCATTGTATGTATGAGTATATGCAAACATGCAAACACATGTATTAAGGAAAAGGAAGAAAATACCGTATTTGATCCATGAGCTATGATCTTTAAAGTTGAGTTTCTCCCTTTTAATATGAGCTGATAGTAGTCTCTCATTAAATACTAGCTTTCCTCTCTAACATACGACTTAATTCCATAAACGTTTTATTTTAAACACCACTAATAAGAAATGTGCTTGATAGGACAGAACTTAAGAAAAGAAATTCTTAAATATCCAGTTTCACACATTCAGCCTAAACACACAATATCTATATCTTTGATTCTTGAGCTTAAAATACTCTGTTATTCAGGTTTCACAAATTATTATTTTGTTTTTTTTTTTGAGACAGAGTCTCACTTTGTTGCCCAGGCTAGAGTGAGTGCCATGGCGTCAGCCTAGCTCACAGCAACCCCAAACTCCTGGGCTCAAGCAATCCTGCTGCCTCAGCCTCCCAAGTAGCTGGGACTACAGCATGCGCCACCATGCCCGGCTAATTTTTCTATATTTATTAGTTGGCCAATTAATTTCTTTCTATTTATAGTAGAGACGGGGTCTCGCTCTTGCTCAGGCTGGTTTCGAACTCCTGACCTCGAGCAATCCGCCCGCCTCAGCCTCCCAGAGTGCTAGGATTACAGGCGTGAGCCACCGCGCCCGGCTCACAAATTATTTTTGTTTATTTTCCAGATGATCCATGTCCCAGGCTGGGATCATCAGGCACCTCCATTTCCTAAGAATTATCATACCACCATCAATATCCACATGAAAATAGCAAATGTGGACAACAGAGGGCAAGGCATATTAAATAAGGATAAGTCATTCTCTCTAGGAACTAAGGTCTAACATAGCATGATAAATAAAAAAGAAATTGAAAGACTCCATGTGCAAATAAATGAAAATTGCAATTACACACAAACAACAAAGCACAAAGCAAAAATACAAACTGTAACAAAAATCCTTTTCAAAATCAATCATCCTAATATAACAAGGTATTAATTGGAATAAGATAAAACTGTTAAATATTGGTACCTTGGTAAACCAAATATAATTATATCCCATCTTCCTGTATCTGCTCACATATAAGGCCTACGTTCATCCCTGTAGGAACTAGAGATTTAAGTGTTCTTAATTACCATTCTAAACTGCACTGATAGAAACTGCAATGCTCTCAAGGTTAGAAAATGGCTTATAGCTAGAATTCTCAGTAACAGGGTAGGACAGAGGAGTATAAAAAGCCTCAGCCTAACAAATGGGCAACAAACATGAAAAAATGCTCAAAATCACTAATCAGCAGGGAAATGCGAATTAAACCACAATGAGATATCACCCTACCCCCGTCAGAATGGCTATTATTAAAAGTCAAAGCCGCGCGGTGGCTCACGCCTGTAATCCTAGCTCTTGGAGCCGAGGCGGGCGGATTGCTCAAGGTCAGGAAGTTCAAAACCAGCCTGAGTAAGAGCAAGCCCGTCTCTTACTAAAAATAGAAAGAAATTAATTGGCCAACTGATATATATATTAAAAAAATTAGCCGGGCATGGTGGCTCATGCCTGTAGTCCCAGTACTCGGGAGGCTGAGGCAGTAGGATTGCTCGAGCCCAGGAGTTTGAGGTTCTGTGAGCTAGGCTGACGCCACGGCACTCACTTAACCTGGCAACAAAGCGAGACTCTGTCTCAAAAAAAAAAAAAAAAAAAAAAAGTCAAAAAACAAGCTGGGCGTGGTGGCTCACGCCTGTAAATCCTAGCACTCTGGGAGACCAAGGTGGGTAAATTGCTTGAGGTCAGGAGTTGCAAATCAGCCTGAGCAAGAGCGAGACCCCGTCTCTACTATAAATAGAAAGAAATTAATTGGCCAACTAATATATATATAGAAAAAATTAGCCAGGCATGGTGGCACATGCCTGTAGTCCCAGCTACTCGGGAGGCTGAGGCACTAGGTTTGCTTGAGCCCAGGAGTTTGAGGTTGCTGTGAGCTAGGCTGACACCATGGCACTCACTCTAGCTTGGGCAACAAATCGAGACTCTGTCTCAAAATAAATAAATAAATAAATAATTTAAAAAGTCAAAAAACAATAGCTGCCCGTGTGGATGCAGAGAGAAAGAAATGCTTACACACTGTTGGAACTGCGAATTAGTACAACCTGTATGGAAAACAGTATGGAGATTACGCAAAGAAATAAATACACACCTACCATTCACCCATAATCTCACTGCTGGGTATCTACCCATAGGAAAAGAAGTCATTTTATCAAAAGGAGACCTGTACTTGAATGTTTATTGCAGCACCATTCAAAATCACAAAGATATGGAATTAACCTAAGTGCCCATCAATTCATGAGTGGAGTAAGAAAAGGATATATATATACACCATGGAGTGCTATTCAGCCATAAAAAAGAATGAATTAATGTCTTTTGCAGCAATTTAGATGGAACTGGAGACCATTTTCCTAAGTGAAGTATCTCAGGAATGGAAAAACAAACACCACATGTACTCTCTAATAATTTGGAACTAATTGATGGGCACACATGGGCACAGGGAGAAGTAAAAGTCACTGGAAATCAAGAAGAGGAGAGGGGGATGGAGGGGAGGGGTAAAAACCTACCTAACGGGCACAATGAACACTATTCGGGTGGTGGGCACAATAATGGCCCTGATTTAAGCACTATAAAAGCTATCCATGTAACAAAAACATCTGTACCCCCTTTATATTTTGAAATTTTTAAAAAAAGCCTAAGCCTTGCTAGAGAAACATTGGAACAAAGCAAATAAAACAAAATATCAGCAAGCTGTAAAACTAGTGTTTTTCTTGCAATTTGTCCACTATTTGTATAATTTCAGAAATGCATTGGATCCTGCACATACCCTTTGCCATAGTATAGAGTAAATGAATAAACAGATGGAGGGCAGGCTTTTTAATGTTTGCTACAAAGGAGAAATAAGCATTAATCCCAGAAACTTCTTGTCTCCCTGAAAATTCTGATCAAGTTAGGATTAAAGGCCAATGAAAAGGCCTACAAGGAGTAATTATACCCAGTGCCCAGATCATGATCTTTAAATACCATCTCTCACTAAAAGGACATGACTCTGTGAACATATTCTTGATCTAGGGTAAGAAATACATAAAGATCCCCTGGGACATCTCATTGTACCAAAAAGCAAGGATGAAACCATCCTTTTCTTGGGGTTGCGCTACTGTCCAATAAGCGCACAGTGAGGGCAGTACTGCTAATGCGAACACAACACGCCTGCATCAACTAGAGCTTTGCTTTGCCTTGGGGCAATTTGGGGAAAAAGAAAAACCTCTTTCCCATGATTAAAAAAAAAATCAAGTATGCTAAAATGGCTAATAGCTACTTTATGCTGTTAGGTTGCATAAAAAGTGCATAGGAGCAGACATGAAGGAGCTTCCATTGGCCAAAGATGGAACAATCGGAGTATCAAAAGATAAATATGGTATTTATTGAATCACACTGAATCTAAAAACCCACATGATACTAAAAAATAAAATATAATAATTATCTCATTGTACATCACTGAAATCAACATGGGCACTAATTCTATACTCCAAAAATTGGCAATAAAAGGAAAGAAAGATTTATCCTCTCTTTTCTGCATACTGTATTTCATGATAACTAAATTAGCCTTAGTTGATAAGGAAAAGTTATTTTCAGAATAATTCTGGTTAATAAGTGTGAAGATGCACAACGAGTTGGGCAAAAGAAAAAAAAATAAGTGTGAAGAAATGAGAGAATTAGAAAATCAGTACTTTACAACCTTTAATGGATCATTGGTTAAAGCAAAAATCATCAATGGATACACTCATTTGATAAAAGATCAGTGGGGAACTTTACAATGTAGAGATCAGGTTTTCACCACTTAAATATACTGATTAATCTTAGTATCACTAAAGCTGGGACAAGCCCAGATACTGTGCACCTCCTGTGGAGAAGCAATGCAAATTATAAAGTGCCAATTATGAAGTATACTTATCAAAAAAGTAGAACTTGAATCTAATTAAGCCTCTAGAGCAAACTTCCATTTATAGAAGATATAGGGAGACAGAGGGACATATTAAATGATACTACAAAGAAACAAACAAATTCAGAATGTGGGACATTCTATAGAACACTGACCCAATTTCTGCAACAAAACAATGAAATGAAAAAAAAAGTTGAGGAGGAGAAGGGGGACTGCTCTACATCAAAACAAACATAAAAACTAAATGTGATAAAAGGACCTTGTTTAGATTCAGATTTTAACAAACCAACTGTAAAAATATATTTTGAGACAATTGGAAAAATTGGGGTATGGAGTAATCATTGGCTAATACCAAGGAAATAGCTCTAATTTTTTAGGTTTGATAATGGCATTGTGGTTATATAAGAAGAATGTTCGTATTTTTAGACACATACTTACTGAAGTTTATACAGATCCAATAACATGGGATTTGCTTTAAAATACTTAAACAAAGGCAAAGGAAAACAGGATACATGATACAAATGTGGCAAAATCTTGATAATTATTAAATATGAGTTATTAGTATATGGAGATTCGTTGCACTATTCTGTTTTCATGTATGTTATAAAGAGTTTTACACTTAAAAAAGGAGGGGTTAATCACAACTATTACAACCTAGGATATTTATTGCACCTTTCTTTCAAGGAGGGCAAAGTATTTTCACATTAATTATTATTAATAACAGTAGCTAACATTTAATAAACTTATGTGCTAGACACTCTAAGTATTTTATATGTATTAACTCATTTAATCTATCTTTCTTAGCTTCACACCATTCAATGTCAAGTCTACTTGTTCAAGTTTAACTTACCTGATATACTTGGTCTGTAGTACTATTCTTTTTAACCCTGACTGTAACTGTTGTTCCATCTGGTAATGCTACTCTCAGCTCTACATCGGACACACCGTTATAGTTCTGGGGGAAAAGACACAGAAAGAATTTACAACCCAGTATATCCTCACTCTTCCTGTTAACATGCTAGGTAAACAATAACCTAAACGTGTGATAAAGAGGAAGTGAGTTACAATGAAAAAAAGGGAAAAAGTCAATACATTTACAAGTCATGAAACTGACTTTAGGTTGCAGCAGAAGTTAACCTTTGAGAGGAACAACGAGGAGAGAAACATGTCGAAGCCAACGTGTTCACATTTCAAAACAGAAAACTTGTGTGAAGCAGTCTAGGTCAAACACAGATGAGATTTTTGGTTCACTTCCCTCTCCCCATTCAGAGCTCACAAATGTGAAGAGAAAACAAAGCAGTAATTTCAAAATGCTCTGGCATTAATGGTAAGGCATATAGATTGGCTCAAAGGGGATCATAAGGTCCTTTCTGAACCTTGAAATAATCAGGACATCTTTGAAATGAAAAATGGGTGAGACTCAGGCATTTAAGTTAGTCTGATGCCCAATTTTCTTCTAGCAAAGAATAAAAAAATTCTTATTCTTCTTGATTCAAAAGAAATCCTTTTTCTGCTTTCGATGATTAACACATTCCTCTAATGGATTTTTGACCTTGTAACTTTTATTAGACAGAAACCACTTTTTAGGAACAAGTCCAGGGAGGAGTGGGGGGCATGGGCAATATATGTAACCTTAACACTTGTACCCCCATAATACGCTAAAAAAAAAAAAGGAACGAGTCCATCTTAATTTATCACTTTTAAAAAAGTAGTATTCATTACCTAAAACCATTCAAAGCATAATAATAAGCCCTTGTCTGTAAAAAACTTATAATCTAGTTGGAAAAATAAGACATATGCATATAAAATAATTAGTGGATAACACACTAATTATTAAATATTCACTAATTAGCATTAAATATTCATTCTTCTATCCAATTAATATTTATTAAGCACCTACGGCACACGTGACAGGGTGGTAAGGCACTGGGAATGTAAAGATGATCAAGATTTAGCTCTTATCTACAGGTAGCTTACACTCTTATGAGTTAAAAATATAAAGTGAAAATCTGATTATATGCCTAAAAATTAGATATTGAGATAGCAATAGGTGATAAGGTGATAAATGAGTGGTACTGATTGTAAAAGTTCTTGGTAGAATAAAAAAATCGATAACCTGAGTTATCAGGGATGGCGTCAAAGGTAGACCTAGCACTAGGTCTTAAAAGATAGATATGCAGGATGCATATGAAAAAGAAGTAGAAAAAAATGTAGTCATCTGTAAAGTTTATGGCAATTCAACCCATAATGAATATCTTTCATTTATTTTCCCCCACAAGGAGCCAAGAGGAAAAAGTCACTAAAGGGGGTATTCATTCACCTACCTCGTCTGATTCTGACAGGAATTCCTGCATGATATCACTCTCACCAATGACTCGTATTGAACACACTGTAGAAAACAAAGATAGAATCTGGCATAAGGCCCTAAAATGAAGAATATTAAGTCAAAAATATATCAAGGTTTAAGTTTAAATCATCAGTAGGAGGCAATGATGAGGTAGTATGCCATGCCAGGCATATAAGACTTTAAGACACGACAAACATTCATCTAAATATAAGAGAAAAGTAATAGAAAATACAAAGATATGGCTTGCTAAATATTAAACATAGCCAGAAAAGAGAAATAAAAGTTCAGTAAATCTAGCTGGGCATGGTGGCGTGCATCTGTAGACCCAGCTACTTGAGAAGCTGAGGCAAGAGGATCCTTGACTTGAGCCTAGGAGTTAGAGACCAGCCTAGACAACATAGTGAGACCCTGTCTCTTTAAATAAATTAATTAATTAAAAAAGTTCAGTAAATCTAACTTTGCAGTCTTGTATGACCTATTAACAAGCTATAACAATAGAACACGGGAGAAAGAGAGAGTGGTAAGGAAATGTCCATCAGGAATAAACCAAATATAAAACTGAAATACAAAAGGAAAATACTGATTTGGCCTATGAACAGCCCATTCAGAGAACCATAAACATTTAAAGCCACTCTGGAAAAAAATGGATAGGTAATTAAGTATTAAGCTGAGCACATCATTTCACCTCACTGACTAGCTTTAAAACAACCACCAAAAAAAAGGAAGGAAGGAAAGCAGGCAGATAGGTAGCTACTCATCTAAAACTAAGAAAATTAATTTCTTGACACTCTCATGAGGATGCTAAATTACACTGATGATTTTACTTCATTTGATTAAAAAAAAAAATTGGACCCTTTCTCATTTCCCGAGGGCTATGTTCAGAGGCCAGTCCATGTTAGAAAGAGCTAAAAACAGATGAGGAAGTTCCACTACTTTCTATGGGAGAAATGGTTTTTCTTCAGGGATAAGGCTCCCTACCAAAGTTTTTTTAAAAATCAACTAGGTCAAGTAGTTCTTATACAAGGACACAAAATGACTAAATACCACATAAGACCATTATTCTATTAAACCAGTATTTTAAAGGAAAATCTATTGCACAGCTAGCAAATTCTATAATTCTGTAACTTAGTATGCTAAGGTCGCTTCTCTGAGCCACAAGATGAACTATTTTATTGAGGAGATCTATATTATTTCTGTTCCTTTCTAGATAAACAAATGTTTCAGCATCTACATCCACAGACTCCTAATGTATTGTTTGGAAGCTCAGAAATAACAAGTAAATTTCTATACTTCTACCTTTAGCCTGCTTCAAACAATAGAATTTTAGATTACTACAGCTCTGCAGACCTATCCATGGATATCTATAAAATGAATAAAGAGTTTTCATGTAGGATATGCCAGTAAGCCAAGAATCACTTTCATGAAAATGTCTTTAATATTCAGCATATTGATGAGTCTGTGTGAATGTGCTTGCTGGCAAATAATATAACCCTATAAATAAAGGTCCATGAAGGACCATCCAATGCATCAAAAACTAAACATTCATTTTTCTGTTGGTGTTAAGTACTCAATGAACCAATAAAACAGGCTACTGATCACTGTACTTGGCATTCCAATATTCCCTTCAAAGCTCAGATCATTCAACACTATAGTCAGAAACTTGATTTTCACTATTGAGTTTCAGGAAACGCAGCCATACAGTTTCGAAGTCGCATGTCTAGACCCTGTGTCTACTCAGGTTAGTAGAGTTTAATGGGTTGGCTTACCTTTTTCTAGATATTCTTCCAAACCCCGACGTCGGGTATCTAATTGTTGTTCTGATAATGAGAAGGGCCACTTTCCTGGAAGACGGGGAAATGTAAAGTTGGCAAATTCTCTCTTCAGGTTCTGGTGTAAGATAGCAAACTCCCGGTACCGCTTAGAACATAGCTGCCTCCCTGCCATGTAAACATTGTATACCTGGTGAGGGAGAAGAACAAAGAAAAGCCTACTTACTACAAATTAAATCACAGAATCATCTAAAGTCAGGCTTAGACTGATGATGGTAAGGTGTATTTTGCTAGGCACTTTAAGATGTACTTTTAACAAATATGCCAAAAGTCATATGCACAAAAAAGGGCTACCCTTCAAGAGGGGCATGATCTTGTTTTTGCTATTAAAATGATCTCTAAAATTATCAGTTTTTTGGGGTTTTGTTTTGTTTTTACCAACTGCTTAGCCTTTGCAGCAATTATCAGTTTTTAAGGATAGATTTTATTTTCTGAAAGTTAAGTCATTTGAAGACAATGTGGTGAAAACAGTGAATGAACAAACAAGCAAATTTGGATGCAGATGAAAACCTAGGGTTGATTATAAAGCAATGTGACTGACATTTGTGTGTGGCCCAAACTGGTTCTAAAGTTAATTCCCAAGAAAAGTTAATTCCCAAGAAAAGAACTAAAAATGATTTAAGCAATAGCATTTTTGTTAGCAAGCAGATATGGTAAAAAGCAAAATAAAAGCCAAGACACTGATAATAACTTAATTCAAACTATATAGTCTCTGCCTTCTCCATCCCATCTCTCTGCTGCCCTGACCCCAAAAAGTTATCATATCCAACCATGTTTATCATTCCCTTGCTTTCATCTTATATACTATTTATAATATATATGTTATATATTATATATTTTTGCATTTATATATAATCCTTAAATTTTATTTTTTATTTTAATTTTTAAGGATATTTTAGTTTTTGTAAAATAGGGTATCATGCTGGATGAGACTTTTAGAACATTTTCACTCAGTCTCATCCACAACATTATATATCTTTGTGGTTTATTCTGCCTGCATATAGCACTTGGTTGTTGACTATATCATAGTTGTTGTTTTTCATCTACTCTCTCATTGATAGGCATTTGGGTTGTTTCTGGGTTTTAGCTATTGTGAACAGTGCTGCTAGCAACATTTGTATACATGCCACCTGTTGTACAAGGAAAAGAGATTCTTCCTGAGAGTGGAACTGCAGGGTTATAAGACACGTGCAATCCAACCTCAGTAGATAATGCCAAAATGTAAGCTAAAGTGGTCCACACTAATTTATTCTCTTATCAGCAATATTAAAAAGATTCTCTTTATTTTTGCCAACAGAATGGGTCTGAAAAGATTTCTTAGTGTGGTCCTAATTTATATTTTCTAATTACTAATGATGCTCAATATATCTTTATATATTTATTGGCCATGTGAGTCTTTTTGTAAAATACCTATTCATGTGTTTTGTCTACCTTATATTGAGTTTTTTAGCTTTCTCATTGATTTGTAGCATTCTTTATAAGTTTTTTTTTCCTTGAGGATGGTCAAGAATCTTATATGTTCTTGACAATCTTTTCATTGGTGTATTATGAATATCTTCTCCCAGTGTGTCACTGGTCTTTTTACTTTATTTAAAAGTCTTCTAAATTTTAAAAAGTTTTTAGTTTTTAAAAAGTCCAATTTATCAATCTTTTTATAACCAACACTTTTTGTCTTTTTTGTTGTTTTTTTTAAGACAGAGTCTCACTCTGTCTCTCCAGCTAGAGTGTAGTGGCATCATCACAGCTCACTGCAACCTCAAACTCCTGAGCTCAAGCTATCCTCTCCAGAAGCTGGGACTACAGGTGCACAGCATCATGCCCAGCTAATTTTTTCTATTTTTAGTAGAGACAAGGTCTCACTCTCCCTCAGGCTGGTCTCAAGTGATCCTCCCGCCTCGGCCTCCCAGAGTGCTAGGACTATAGGCATGAGCCACTATACCTGGCCTTTTTGTGTCTTAAGAAACTTTTTTCTATCACCAAGCTCTAAAAGCTATTCACCAATATTTTCTACTAAAAGTTTTAATTTTTTTTTTGCATTTAAGTACTTAATCCATCTGGAATTGATTTCTCTACATAATATGTAGAGTTCCATTGGTATTTCTTTTAAAGCCAAGAATATTTAAAATCAACTTTTAATTGAATTCTCCCTAAACAAAAATATTCTGCTTTTACAGGACAATATGGGGACTTCCAAGTGGTCTATAATTAACTTCCCTCTATAAACAACTAGAAAACTGGACACAATATAGGACACAACTATTTTCAGACATTGGACAATAGGCAGCTAAGAACTGTGATCCCTGAGTAAGGGTAACAAACAAGATGAGCCTTACCACAAGCCTGGCTTTCTGCCTGGAGGTAACTTCTAAACTGAGGCTCAGGGAAGGGCACCCAAACAGAGTTCTGAGGAGTTGAATAGAGAGAAACTATAGCTCAGGGAAGCCACAACAGCTAGAATTTGCAGGGCTAAGCACACAAAAGGGAGCTAAAGAAAGACACAGGTCCAAAAGTCTGTGTTGAGTCTCCTTGAATTTTAGCTGAATCTGAGGAAAGAACTATAACCAAGGGAGAGTTGTAAATAAATAATTCCCAGAGTTCACACAGGATATGGACTCATCATTCAACTTCCCTCCAGCCAGAATAAAGAGACTTCCCTGAATCTATGTGGAATTCAGAAGGGAATTCAAAAAGGTCATGCTTTAGGAGTGGGGCTAAATTTTTCTAGAGAGCTACTCTAAACCACTTAAAAGCAAATCCCAAAGGATTAAAATAAACCATAACTTAACTGCATGCCAGAAAAAAAAAATCCAACACTCTTTAAAAGAATATAACAAAATCTAGCACCCAATAGCATTTAATATACAAGGTACAATGCCCAATCAAAAATTACTAGACATATAAAGAAGCATATGTAGAACAAGGAATTGTTGAAGTTAAAAAAAAGAAAAATAAATTAATTAAATAAATATAAAATAAATAAAATAAAGAAGCATAAATATTTGACCTATGACCAGGAGAAAAATCGGCCAGTATAAACAGACTCAGAAATGACAAAGACAAAAGAGTCAGTAGAAAAGGACATTAAGCAGCTATCATAGGCTGTTTCTGCTTTTGTTTGGGATTTAGGAAGCCAGGCCAGGCTTGGTGTGTCACACCTGTAATCTTAGCACTCTGGGAGGCCAAGGCAAGAGAATTGCTTGAGGACAGGAGTTTGAGAGCAGCCAGAGCAAGAGCAAGACTGCATCTCTACAAAAAATAGGAAAATTAGCCAGGCATGGTTGCAAATGCCTATAGACCCAGCTACTTGGGAGGCTGAGACAGGAGGATCGCTTGAGCCCAGGGGTTTGAGGCTGCAGCGAGCTATGATGATGACACTGCACTTTAGCCAGGGTGACAGAGCAATAGTCTGTCTCAAAAAAAAAATAAAGAAAGAAAAAAAGAGCACTTCCACTCCAGACACCAGGAGACTTCCCACTAACTTGCAAATTTTTTCCCTGGGCCTCTACTGTATTCAGAAGAAAGACTAGAGGCAGGGCAGGAGACTAGAGATAGCCTCCCTTGGTGGCCCAGGTCTACAGGAGGTGATTAGCAATTGCTAGGGGACAGATACAATGCCCAACCACTCTCCCATACCCTTCTCTTCTAAGCAAAAATTGTAGGCTACTGGGGGATGGGCAGTGCTATGGCTCGAATGTCCCCTCCAAAACTTAAGTTGAAATTTATTTGCCATTGGGAGGGTAATAAGAGGGACCTTTAAGACATAATTAGGTCGTGAGGGTAAAGCCCACATGAAAGGGTTAATGCAGTTATGGAGAGAACACATTATAGTTATCTCAGGAGTTAGGCCCTCCTTTTCTCTGTCTCACAGGTACTTCTTTACCATGTGATGCCTTCCTCCATGTTATGATACAGGAAGAAGGCCCTCCCCAAATGTGGCCCCTTGACAGTAGAATCCCCAGCCTCCAGAACCCTAAGCCAAATAAATCTCTTTTCTTCATATCCAATCTGTTATTCTGTTACAGCAGTAGGAAACAGATGAAGACAGGTAGCAGACCATCTCATTCAGAGGGCACAAAGATCCACTGCTTCTGGGGATGGGGAAAAAGCAAAATACTCTGTACTCCTGTCGAGAGGCAGGAAACCATCTTAGGTCCAGATTTCCACACTGATACCAAGCAGAGGTCTGCGATAGTTGGAGGAGGGACAGGAAACTCTTTCCCAAGACTAACCACAGATACTAAGCAGAGTTTGTCTCAGAAAAGAAGGAAGGGCAAAATAACTAAGGCACGGGGACACAGACCGACCCTGCCTATGGCTAAGGCTGGACCCCACAACATCCACCTCTACCAAAAGAGGCTAGCGCAAATAAAAAGCAAGAACAGTCTATCAGTGGCAGAGGAGCAAGCAAGAGAGAGAACTTGTCTGTGGTGCAGGCATGTAGAGGTGACTGAAGGCTTTGAGACAGAAATACTAAAAAAAAAACCTCCAGAACCCAGGCCTCACTCTAAGCACAAGGTAACAGCAGCCTACTGCTACAGGAACTTGAAGCCTATGGTACGATAAAAGTAATGAGAGCCACAAGAAAACACAAACCCAGCTTAACTCACTCAACTGCCTAACAGCAGAGGCTTGCCCATTTTCAGGTTGAAATACTATTTACTCTAGTCATCTCTACTGTTCTACACATGATGGTTGGCATTCAGTTAATTATTACCAGACAAAAATGAAAAGAAAAGAAAAAAAAACCTAATACTTCTGTAAAAAGATAAAGCAATTTCAGAGGTGAGACCCAGAAGTTGAAACTATTAGACAGGGACTTTAGAATAACTGTGATTAATATGCTAAAAGATCTAATGAAGGTGGCTCATGCCTGTAATCCTAGCACTCCGGGAGGCCGAGGCGGGAGGATCACTCAAGGTCAGGAGTTCGAGACCAGTCTGAGCAAGAGCGAGACCCTGGCTCTACCAAAAATAGAAAACATTAGCCGGGCATGGTGGTGCATGCCTGCAGTACCAGCTACTCGGGAGGCTGAGGCAGAAGGATCGGTTGAGCCCAGGAGTCTGAGGTTGCTGTGAGTTAGGCTGATGCCATGGCACTCTAGCCAGGGCAACAGAGTGAGACTCTGTCTCA